AGTTGTTTTTGTTAACCATTAATACTGTTATTCATCGCGACGGAAAAGCTCACATGATAAATTCACACAATCTTACTCTCATGATACTCTCTCTATCTCTCACAAAGCCTTGCTCCTCTACAACAAATACTATTGATATTTTCTGATGTTCACTATTCTCTCTTTTTGTCTTTCTCATTTTCCTTCTCTCTCTCCTCGCACAAGATATCAATGCTATTGAATCTTTCCTTTACACATTTCTATGTACATATTCATTTTTGCGGCTGACCAAAGCCAGCTGTATAGCTGAACGAAAATTGCTGCTACTAGTTCATTGCTGATGAAATATTTCTATCATTTGCTGATGTTAAGATTCATAATTATTGAAACTATATGTATGTGCTTTACTACCCCTACTACCCCACTATTAAATACCAATACTTTGGAATACTATACACATTTAAATCTTTAGACCACAATAATAAAAAATAGTCGTAGCTTACTCTGATCTTTGGTTAGTCCTTCTATGTCTACAACTGTTGAGTTTGTGGACGTTAAAATAAAACTTCATACTTATAATGCATTTATTACTTGTTCTTACATTCCTCCAACGTCTGATATTGGGGTTTACTTAGAGCACTTGGCTTTGATCAAAAGTATTACTTCTCATCTCACACAAAGTGATAAGTAAATAGTGTTAAGTGACTTTAATCTGGCCAATGTTTCGTGGATTTTCTATGACGACCTTGGATGTTATATTCCCTTTTCTTATCCGTTAATTTATGGAGAGTTTTTCGATGAAGTCCATGGATAAGATTTGTGTCAGGTTAACAATATGGTTAATGGAAATAATAAATTGCTCGACGTACTTTTTTGCTGGGATACCGATATTTCTGTGTTTCGAGGGGAGTCCTTTGTTTCGCCTGAAAATAGGCATCATATGTCATTGTTGCTGGCCGTAAATTGTCTTGCTGGCAATGGGCCGCGTAACCAGGTGATCAATAGGGATCACCGTTTATTTCCTAAAACGAATTACGTTAAACCTAGGAACTTGCTGGGGACATTGACTGAGACATACGCTCAGCAGATATTGATGACTCGATATGCCTTATTTACAGTCAGCTTTGTTTCGCAATTTCCGCCTCCGTTTAAGGTTTGTCACACGTCAGTGTCCCCAGATTGGTATAGCAAGCATTTACGGATGGTCCGCAATAAACAAAGTAGGCTATTTGAAAAATGCACTCGAAGTGGTTCGATTAGAGATTATATGTTATACTCTAGCACTAGACGAGATTATAACTCCCAACAACTTGCTTTCGGGGAGTTATTCCAGTTTTATTGAGGCAAGCGGACTCAAACTTCTTAAAAATCTGAGGAACTTTCTCAAACTCGTAAATTCCAAACGAAAAATAAAAGGATGTCCCTCCGCCATGAGCTTTGGAGATTTCGAATTATCCGATGTGACTGTAATAGCGAACCTTTTTGCACACTATTTTGAAGTAGTCTACCAATGTTTACATACTTCGTTTGATAGTTATCCGTATTCGATAAGGTCCTTTGATATTTTTCCGTCTATGTTTTCCTTCGAAGAAGAACTATTGTAATTGCCCTGGTCCTGATGGTGTTCCGTCTGTAATTGTCCAACATTGTGCTGATTTACTATGCTCTCCCCTTACACAAATCTTTAATGTCTATTTGGAAAAGGTTACTTTCCATCGGTTTGGAAGAGTAGCCTCATTTTGCCTTTTTATCAGATTGATTCTCGGAAACTTATTGTGAATTATAGGGGAATTGCCAAACTAAGTGCATTGCCCAAACTACTTGAATCACTAGTAGCAAAAAGTCTTACTCCGCTTTTAGGATCAATTATATCGCACTGTCAGCACAGTTTTCTAAAAGGAAGATCAACGGCTACCAATCTTTTGGAGTTTTGTAATCCAATTTACAAGGCATTTTCCAATCATACGTAGACTAATTATATTTTCACGGACTTTTCCAAAGCTTTGGACGGATTTGATCATAGGTTGTTAGTCTATAAATTACATCGCCTTGGTTTTTCGAGCAGGATGACTGCATGGTTTAGTAGCCATCTCTCTTACATCGTGTCGTGTCCAACGGGTGATGCGGAAATCTTGTCAATCTAGAGTAATTGATGTCACTCTGCTGTTCCTCAGCTTGGTCATCTTGGCCCTCTTTTGTTTATTTCATACGTGAATCACCTTCCGGAGTGTGTTCACGATTTACGTGTTTTAATGTTCGCAAACGATGTTAAACTGTCCCTCTCCTTTGTGAGTCCTGACTGCTTGGGTGCGGCCCTTCGGGGAGTACTCGTGGTGGTTGTGGTTGGCGAGTTCCTAGCTAAAATGGAACAATTGAGTGCAGCTAGGCCTCGCCATTGACCAGAGTGGGGTTTATTGTTCCATACACAATAAACTGTTCTGGACTCTGGTGCTGTTTAGGCCCCTACTCTGTGGGGATTGTCTAACTCGCCAGGGGGCGTAGTACGCTTAAAAGTGGCTTGGGCCACCGTGGGGTTAAGCCTTTCAGGCAGGAACCCACGTTAAACCCTTGCCACAAATTTTCTTTCCCTCTCCTTTGACTCAAAATATGGTAGACTTCTTCAGTACGATCTTGAGAACATGTGCTCATGGTGCGGAAACAATGGTATAGTTTTGAATTCAAACAAATACAAGGGAATGTATTTTACATGGTGCAGTACGACGCCTTCTTATTGTCGTATTGATAGTCATAATCTGGAAAAGGTTGGCAATTACGAAGAGTTGTTTCTGTTTCAAAATCCAAGTTTGACAGTCATATTGAAGTGACAGTTAATAAAGCTAGACCCCTTTTAGGATTTATAAAAAGATGATTTAAAGAATTTAAAGCCCCATACGTGTACTTCATTCGTTAGGACAACTCTTGCATACTCGTCGGTAGTTTGGCTTCCTACTTATAGATGCCATATTGATCTCATGGAATCTGTTCAACGAAACTTCTTTGTGTTTGTTTCGCGAGGTTTGGGATGGGATTCTACTCTATGTCTTCCACCATATAATAATAGGTTGAAGCTCGCTGATTTGCCTATTCTCGAAAGAAGGCGTGAAATGTTGGGTGTAACATTCCTCTATAAGCTAATAAATGATGAGGTTTATTCGCCGACTTTATTAATTAGACCTTCTTGATATTCACATCCCTAGTAGGATCACAAGACGTTTTGTGCTTTTGCAGCTACCACAATGCCGTCCCAATTATGAGTTGATCGATCCGTTCGAGTGAGTAAAATGTGCAACGATCGTTACCACTTACTTGATCTGTCCGTCTTGTCCGTTAATAAAGTGAAAAGCCTTATATTACAGACTAACCGCCAAATATTTTTGATTTACTTGTGTTTAATTGCGTATTACTAATATTTTATACAATGTATTTCTCGAACACAATACATTTAACTTTAAGATTATTGAAAAAAGTTGTGATATCGTTGGTATTACCTTTTTGCGCACATCAGAAAAGGTTAACTCCTGATCAAAGCTGTCTAACGATATTATCTCGACAGAAAACTAGTTAGTTCTATTCTAAATAAATAAATAGATGAACTGGGAAGTTACTCCGCAATAGCAAATCAATAGTAAAATGTGACCTCGAAATTAATTAAACCAATAAAGAATTTTCTTAAACTTAGACTTTGTTTAAAATGTTCACTGTAAGATTTCACCAAGTATTGTTATATAAACACTGAATGCATATTGTTGTTTTCTCTCAACTTGCCTACAGCTACGTGGTTCTTCCTGCGTATCATAGTTTAATTTTAAACTATAATTCATATATTAACCAACATATCAGTTATTGTAGGTTAAGAAAATTGTTAAGCAGCTGACAATTACGACAATATGTTCTAAAATAAGCAAATTTTCGCAGCTATACTTTATGGTCATTGCTACGAATTTTGAAGGCCCGATTTTAGTTGTAACAATTTGCTAGGTACTTAGAGTCGCAACGCATTAAAATTTAGTCGAAATGTGAACACAGTACCATATACATAATTTATGTACTTTACTTTCCTTTGTGTTAGCTGTCTATTTCAAATTATGTGAAACTTACCTTCGCAGAAAGTGGAATTTCTGTTAGCGTTACTCGTTCTCTAGCTGATCACTCAATACAGTATCACATAGCGAACAATTAAAGAGCTTTAAGAAGGAAGTTTGCTTAAAACAATATTGAAATTTCGAATAATCACAATTAGTTCACACATGCATATTTATGCCTATTGACATAGCGTTATATATCTTAATTAATTTGGTTTAAAATTCCACAGACGCATTATTCCTTTCTCTTTTAAAAAATTAAATTTAAGAGATCCCAGCTAACTTACCTGTTGCTGACATTACATTTTACTCTTATCTAGCACGAATGTTTATATTTTTCTATCCCTTTTCTCTCATCATGCTTTCGGCATTCGTGGCCTATGTGGTGTTCACGTGCCTGTGAAATATCATTCGTTAAAAATAAAGGTTGCCAGCTGTTAAATAATACTATCTTCACGAAATGATGGTGAATTCGCGACATAACAAACTTGTGTTTTTTTTTTCATCTTTGCGCAATTGGACCGGAATTGCTCGGGTATAAATTGAACACTGGCGTACGAATGAGAGTTGCGTTTCATTTGTGAGCCTCCGAGCTATACAATGCCTTAAAAAATGCGCAAATTTTGTTTTTAAATTTTTTTAAGTTCTTCGTCCTCTAGAAAACGGGAAATTTGAACCGTCTCGATATACACCAAGAGTCGCAAACTGGGCACTAGCAAGCTATAGTACAAATTTTCCTAAAGTTTATCTTAATTCTGGAATAATAGCTTAATTCGTGATAGTTTTTTTTCATTTCGTACAGAGAGAATTTTTTTAAAAAGAATTTGCTATTAATTATTTACTATGAAAAACTTAATTACACTTTTATTAGATTTTGTTTAAATTAATGACTTTTTAAAAAAGAAAAAAGAAAGAAAAACCTCAGAGAATATTTACATTAACACGCTACGAAAAAAATATTACTAACGATAATTTAAGTTCGATTTAACTTTAAAAAAAAAAAGTCAATCGCTACTCTGATCTTCATTAGGATAAGGTTCTTGCTTTACAGTTTGATTAGACGATATTGTATTATTATTGTTCAGACGCACACGCATGAGATTGGCTGAGGATCTTGTAGTGGCACCGATTTTCGTTGCAGGTATATGAAGAATATTAGAAGGCATCGCCGGAACAGCATGCACTGTCGATGAGATCCCATCCTGACGAGCCGGCGTAGAAGACGGTACCTCATTCGAATCTTGAAGAAGATTACGCAAACGTCGTAACATATTTAAATCGGAAGCATGTACAACAGTTAAAGCACTTGGAGAAAATGCAGTTGTTGAGGTAAGATTTTGATTTCTATTTGAAGCATGTGCAGGAGAAGTAGCTGAGATGGTGTTGCTTGAGGTGGAAGTATCAAAAATTTCACCTAGTACTTCATAAATACGTCTTTTAAATAGAATTTTCTGCTTAAAATCCATTGCTTTCATTTCGGGTAATAAACCCTGCAGAAAAATACCATCATAGTCACTCTGAGGTAATACATCCAAAGGCTGTATGGAAATAAAAGAATTAAGAAGAAATTTATGCGGTCTTGCCAAGTAAGCTTACTTTAATGTCTGGGTATGATTCTATTGAGCAGGTACTGCTATCCTTAACTCTCAATCTCTTTTTCGGCGGCGCGCATGCGTAATTTATGGAATTTCGT